GTCACCCCCAAAAAGTAAAATAAAAACCAGTTAGTATCGTAAGACTGTGTTTTTGAAAAGATTAAGCTCTTATTACATATGAAGAATTATTTCAAAAATCAGTTATCTTTGTGAATCAAGTATAATAGGCCTCTAGTAAGTGTTATTCTAAACACTATTTCTAGAGAAGGAGAGCATCTTAGGAGCACATCAGAGCTCTGAAAGGATGTTCTTGAAAAGACTTCCCAAAATCTGATAGACTGCCAAATCCTGTGGCTAAGAACATTAAGCTATTAAGCTGCAGCTAATTACATCTTTTCACAGTCCATAGACCATTAGACAGCTATGAAAATTCCTCTAAGCAAATATGAGAGAAATGAGGCTTTCTAAGGGACTGGAGAGACAGTGCTGGAGTTAAGGTGCTTGCCTTGCATGATGCTGATGCTGGTTCAATCCCAGGCACTGCATATGCACCCCACCTCACCCCACCCCAACACACACACACACACACACACACACACACACACACACACACAAGCACTTCCAGTAGTAAGGAGAGTAAGGAGTAACCTTTGACTATAGCCAGGTGTAGCTCATATCCAGCCCCTCCTCAACCCAAACACAAAAGAAATGAGGCTTTTTGAAAGAAATGCATATGCCCTCATTTTCTCCTTTATCTAACATCATTTTTCCATGCCAGGTGTAATTCTAGTACACTTCTCTCAAGCCTGGCCGTTTCCTGTATTATACTATACCCCATTTTCTTTAGTTTCAAAAAGAGAATGTCATTTTCAAGTGTTTTAATTGAGCTAATTCAACAAATCCACTCAACATTACTATCCAGTACACATACACAAATCAGACTAAAAGTTTATATAGTTTTAATAAGTCTGGTATTGTCTATTCTTTTTTTCATGGGTGGGGGTCCCTAAGCCAGCGCTCAGGGAGCACAGGGACACGCCTCACGCAGTCCAACTGTGAGGCCAGATGGCTCCACGCACAGTGCCAAGCAATTTGAGAACTGCAATTTAAGAGGTGTCTTTAATGACTAGACTCCATTGGCAAGGACAACAAAAACAAATACAAACAAATGAAGCTACATCAAATTTAAAAAAAAAAAGTTTTGCCTGGCAATAGGAACTAGAGCTAAAATTAAAAGATATCAGACTGCGGCTGGAGCAATAAATAGTAAAATGGTAAAGCACTTGCCTTGCAAGCGGTAGGCCAGGGTTTGATCCCCCATGCCCCACAAAATCCCCTGAGCGCACCAGGAGTAATCCCTGAGTGCAGAAACAAGAGTAATCCCCGAGCACTGCAGGGTGCGACCCAAAAACAAACAACAACAACAACAAAAAAGACACCATACTGAATGGGAGAGAATATTCTCACACTATATACCAAAGGGCTAATATTCAAGATCTCTTAAAGCACTTGCAAAGCTTAACAACAACAAAATAATCTCATCAAAACCTAGGGAGAGGTGGCCATATGGATGGCCAGGAGGCATATGAAAGAGTGTTCATCAGCATCTATTATCAGGGAAATGAAAATCAAAACAACCATGAGATATGATCTCACTGCAGTGAGAATGTCGTATATAAAAAAGACTAGAAACAACCAGTGTTGGTGGGAATGTGGTGAAAAAGAAACCCTTGTTCATTGTTGGTGGGAATGTCATCTATTTGGCTCAGCCTCTAAGAGAACAGGAGTCTTTTAAAAAAAATTAAGGTGAGGAGAGAGCTTTCCTTTGACCCGGCAATTCTACTTCTAGGTATCTACCTCCAAAACAGAAAAAACATTAACCTGAAAAGATATGCTCACACCTATGTTCACTGCAGTGCCAAATACAATAGACAGAATATGGAAATGACCCAAATGTTCAATGACAGATGAATAAAGTTGTGGTATATTATTATTTTAAAAAGACACAATCTTTAAGTTTGCTACAAATAGGCTGGAAAGATAGCACAGCAAGCAGGGCGTTTGCCTTGCAAATGACCAACACCGCCAACCCAGGTTCGATTCCTCCGCCCCTCTCAGAGAGCTAGGCAAGCTACGGAGGGTGTCTCGCCCGCACGGGAAAGCCTGGCAAGCTACCCGTGACATATTCGATATGACAAACACAGAAACAACAAGTCTCACAATGGAGACGTTACTGGGCCCGCTAGAGCAAAATCGATGAACAACAGGAGGACAGTGCTACAGTGCTACAAATTGGATGAAACAGGAAGGCATCTTTTGAGTGAAAAATGTCAGAAGGAGTGGTCAAAACTATAGCATAGTGGGTAGAGTGCTCATACTGCATGTGGTTGACCTGGGTTGGAACTCACCCTGTATGGTTCAGAAACCACTCCTGGCAAGCTAGGTTGGAAGCACACAGGGTCTCAGGGATGGAACCCAGGTAGTCCTCATACAAGGCAAGCACTCTACCCACTGTACTTTCTCTCCAGCCCCACAAAAATCTTAATATCTACTACTTTGTAGGCTGGAGTGATAGCACAGCAGGTAGGGCGTTTGCCTTACATGCAGCCAACATGGCTGGCCCAAGTTCAATTCCTCCGCCCCTCGCGGAGAGCCAGGCAAGCTACTGAAAGTATCTCGCCCGCACGGCAAAGCCTGGGAAGCTCCCCTGACGTATTCGATATGCCAAACACAGTAACAACAAAGTCTCACAATCGAGACGTTACTGGGCCCGCTCGAGAAAACTGATGAACAACGGGAGGACAGTGACAGTGACAGTGACTACTACTTTGTACCAATTAGTCTACTACATACTAGGTTTAGGGTTTTTTTTTATATATATATATAAATTTAAATACTAAATAAAAACTGGGCTGGAGAGGTAGTACAGTGCGTAAGAAACTGGTTTTGCATCCGCCCAGCTTGGGTTCAATCCCAGGCATCCCAAATGGTCCCCCAAGTACTGCCAGAAATCTTTTCTGAGTGCACAGCACGGAGTAACTCCTGAGTATCACCAGGTGTGACCCAAAAGCCAAAAGTAAACAAAAAGGAATAATAATTAAAGTGAGAAGGAAAAATGGAATTAAGTTTGGTGGGTGATTTGAGTAAATGCATGTATAATTGTGGTTTAACTTAAATAAGACCTAGCAGGAGGGTCAATAGGTTTGAGTATATGCTTTGCATGTGAGTGACTTGGGTCTGATCCAGGATACACAATTCTGTGAGTACAGCCCCTTGAGATCTGCCAGGTCTGACCCCAAAACAAAATTAATAAACTTAAAATCATAATACCCAACCTTCAATAAGTTATAACCAAATTTTAAAAAGATATTGGGGAGGTATAGTCTAAAATGCAAAGATTTTAGTTATAACTGTACTTCATGAACAAAGTTGCCAGCGTATTTGGTAAAGAAATATAAAATCTGAACCATTTTTGAACACCATTATATTAAAAGTCAAAACTTGATTACTTAGGTATCTGAATTTCAAAAATTGTGAAGAAAATATGACAGGTTTTAACCTTCAGTAGACTGAAAAAAAGCAAAAGTTTACTTAGGGGAACCTTTGAAATTCATAAAATCAAGGAATGGCAAAAGAAGAATAGCAACAATATTTAGGTCACATTATTTATATAACTGCTAACTAGCATATGGTCATCAAGCTTATCAATTATTCACTGCTCCTAGGTTAAATATGCAATGAGTTCACTATACAGCTCCCATAGCTAGTGGATCGATTTCTTAGTAGATTTACAGAATAGATATTAAAGTTTATATGGATAAACTCAAGCACTGACAAAGTATGAATTTCTAGACTATTTGTTGATTCATAGATAAAAGAAATTCACCATTATTTCTACAAAACTGGTTTTATAACATATTTGCCTTTCTTGATAATGATCTTCTTAAGAAGAGAATGTGTGGAGCAGGAGGGAACCCTTACAGGAGTTAATGAGCGTGCCTCACATGCAGCTGACCCCAGTTCAATCTCCGGCTCCACCTGGAGCAGAGTCAAGAACACTGTAATAGATGGCCCAAATACTCTACACCCAATGTATCTTATTTTTAGTACTGTTCCTGGCAGGTATTTCAAATATTTTTTATAGAGATGTTGGAGCAATAATACAGCGGGCAGAGCTTGCCTTGCACACAGCCAACTCAGATTGGATTCTTGGCTCCACATATGATCCCCTGAGCCAAATCAGGAGTGATCCTTGAACACTGAGGCAGGAATAAACTCAAAGCACTGCCAGGCATGGCCACAAAAAGCAAACAAAAAAGTTCTTTGTTAGATTATAATTAACATTAAGTATACAAACTTAATGAATTAATCAAAATCAACTCTGGTATTTCCCATTAAAGAGAAGATTAAAGGTCTGCGAGCTAGTATGGTGGGTACTTGCCTTGTACAAGGCTGACCTGGGTTCACTCTCAGAAACACATATGGTCCCTTAGAACTGTCAGGAGTATTCCCAGAGCAGAGCCAGGAAAAAGTTCTAAGCACTGCTGACTATAGGCCCCCAAACAAACAATGAAAATAGATCCTGTGTGATCTACTGTAAAAGATTATTTTAAAAAATAGTAGAAGGCCAGAACACTAGTAAAGGGTGTAGGGAGTTTGCCTAGCAGAGAGCCGACACTGGGTTCAATCACCAACACCTCACATGGTCCCCTGCACCCTGCCACGAGTGATCCCTCAGTGTCAAGCCAGAAATAAGCCCTGTGCACCACTGATTGTAGCCCAAATATTAAAAATTTTTAAAATTTAAATTTAAAAAAAAAGTGATCAAATGCTATTTACAATTTCCAAATAGCTGACTATAAGTTACAAAATGCCCTACTAACATCAAAAGCTGGTCATCACTTAAGTGTATGATGAAATCTTGTACATTATAAAGTAACACCTGCATAAGCCTATAGGTTGGAAGAAAATAAAAGCAGTAACTAAAACAATGATCTGAAAATAATGATTCTCAAAATATCTTTGAGAAGGGGCACTTAAGTATTTGCATTTATAGAATTTTTTTAAAAAATTGAAATTACGGGGAATAAAAATATTACCTGAGGGCAGGAAATTCAGACAAAAGTTCCCTATTCCTGGTGAAAGCAAGTAGTCAGTTGCCAGGGTTTCTGAGACTCCTCTGGTACTCACTTAGGTGATTATGAAATTCACAGCACACCAATCTCCACCACAGCCAGCAGGGATCGCTGTAGGGAATGGGTACACAGGGGACACAGAAGGGAGCAAGTTTAAGGGAAGGAAGAGGAAAGGAACGATATGATAAAAATATTTAGCTGTGATGCACTTAAATGAACACAGTTGTATTTCACACTAGACTAATCAAAGGCAAATGTTGCTTAAACTCTATTATAAATTAATCACTTACGATTTTCTTCATTCTAACACTAACATTACAACTACTCTATAATACGTATTTAAATTCTTATATTGAATTATTAGCAAAAAATAAGATAGCCATGTCGTACAAACGTTTATACAGAGACTGAACTGCACGATTTAACACTGAGTGAAACCAATTAAGAAAAGGACTCTGAAAGACAAGCAATCTTCAAATACAAAATGTCAAATTAGTTTTCTACCACATGCTCCAGTTAAAACTGTAATACTGGGATGCAGCTCAGTAGTATAGTGTCTACTCTACATGCATGGGACCTAATTGTGATTCCTGACAACTGGCAGGGGCTCATGGGCAACACAGGTTGCATAACAATCTCTATATATTCTTATGTCAACTTAAAAAGTCTGCCCCATATGTCTCAAAGATAGGGATGGAGATGTAGCATAGCAGTAGAGCACTGGTCTTGCATGTACAAGGTGCTAATTTCATGGTGGGGCTGTAGGAGGATTGAGGGGCAGAGTCTGATGGCATGTATTCCCATGGGAAAATCAGAGGAATCCTGAAACATTAGTGGTAGGACTGGTATAGTACTCTAACTATAAAGTAACAACTTCAATACTACTAGTCAACTACATAATGCTTCAATTAAAATGTTTTAAGGGTCAGAGAAATAGTACAGCAGGAAGGGTGCTTGCCTTGCATACAGCCAACCTTAGGTTTGGTCCCTGGCGCCACATATGGTCCCAAGTGCCACCAGGAGCAAATAACCAGGGCTAAGTTGTGGGCACAAAAATAGATGTGGCCCAAAACCCAAAGGGGGAAAAATAGAAAAACACAATGGCAGAGTCAGGGACATAGATAAATGGGCTGAATCAAATGCTTTGTAAGCAGGAGATAAAAGTTTGAGTCCTAGCCACTATATGGTTACCCAATTACCAAAGGGAGTGATTCCAAGTAGAATGTGAGCACCGATGCACAGGGGTTACTCCTGACTCTGCACTCAGGAATTACCCCTGGCGGTGCTCAGGGGTCCAAATGAGATGCTGGGAATCGAACCTGGGTTGGCCATATGCAAGGCAAATGTCCTACCCGCTGTGCTATTGCTCCAGCCCTGAAAACAATATTTATCTTCGACTTATGAAGGTCTCTTTTTATAGTACGGTGTAGTTATATAAAGTTGTATCAGAGAAGAAATTTGGAGCAGAAAGTCAATTTAATAACTAAAACATATTTATTCTACAATTTATTTTGTTTTTTCTTTTGGGGAACCCACACTTAATAGTGTTTAGGGACCACTCCTGGCTACATATCTGGAGGTCATTCCTGGCAGTGCTCAGGGAAATATGTGGGATTAGGAATCAAACCTGGGCCTCCTGCATACCAGAACACTCACTTCAGACACTGATGCCTCTTCAGCTCAGATTTGCCAAATTTTTTAATCACTGGAATTTTTTGTTGTCGGTTTTGTTTTTTGTTTGGGGGTATACCACACTAGCTGTACTCTTGGCTCTGTGCTCAGGAGCTACTCCTGGTTGGGCTCAGCTGTGATGCTGGAGCTCGAACCCAAGTAGCCACATGGAAGGGAAGTGCCCGACCCACTGTACTACCTCTCAGGCCCCATGAATCATTGTATTTTCTAATATTACTAGTTTCCTCCTAAACACTTGGTGTGTGTGCAGGGAAGAACAGAAGGGTTTTTTGTTTGTTTGTTTGCTTTGGAGCCACACTCAACTATACTCAAAGCTTACTCCTGGCAGTACTCAGGGGTTTAATGTGCAGTGCCATGAAAAGAACACACGTTGGCAGTGTGTAAACCACCTTACTCTCTATCTCTCCAGCCCTAAATATTTAATTTTTTAAAGACACTCCCTACCCATTTTCCATAATTCCACACCATATCTGATGGGGAATCAAACAGCAGGCAACAAATCAGAGGGAAATATATATACACATATATATATATATGGGCTGGAGTGATAGCACAGCGGTAGGTGTTTGCCTTGTGCGCCACAGACCTGGCCGAGCCTGGTTCGATTCCTCCGCCTCTCTCGAAGAGCCAGGCAAGCTACCGAGAGTATCTCGCCCGCATGGCAAAGCCTGGCAAGCTACCTGTGACGTATTCAATATGACAAACACAGTAACAAGTCTCATGACGGAGACGTTACTGGGCCCGCTCGAGCAAATTGATAACAATGGGAGGACAGTGCAGTGACATATATATATATATATATATATATATATATATATATATATATATATCGAAGAGCCCGGCAAGCTACCAAGAGTATCCTGCCCGCACAACAGAGCCTGGCAAGCTACCCATGGCGTATTCAATATGCCAAAAACAGTAACATTAACGGGTCTCATTCCCCTGATCCTGAAAGAGCTTCCAATATGGTAGTTGGGAAAGATGAGTAAGGAGAGGCTGCTAAAATCCCAGGGCTGGGACGAATGGAGACATTACTGGTGCCTGCTCGAGTAAATCGATGAACATCAGGATGACAGTGATATAGTGATACAGAAGTGAAGCAAAATGTTTTTTATATAAAGGGATTGCTTAGAAGAGTGAGAGAGAATAAAGAGAGAAATACATGTTCAAGAAGGAACACAAGCATCTCCAAAAGGGAAATACCTTAACCTTTCTTTAAAGATTTTAGCTTTATTTTGTTTTTTTGTTTTGAGCCACACCCTGTGATGCTCAAGGATTACTCCTGGCTCTGCACTCAGGAATTAACTTTTCTAATGGTGGTTGATGGACCATATGGGATGTCAGGAATCGAACCTGGGTCAACTCCGTGCAAGGCAAACACCCTACCTGCTGCACTAGCTCTCCTGACCCAACATTTAATTCTTTTTTATTTATTTATTTATTTTATTATTAGTGAAACACCATGAGGTACAGTTGTAGATTTACAAATTTTTGTGCTTGGATCTCAGTCATACCACGATCAAATACCCATTCCCTCCACCAGTGCCCATTTTCCACCACCAGGATAATATCCCGCCCCCCATCCCCCCCCCCCCCCCCCCGCCACTGTGGCAAGGCATTCCCTTTTGTTCTCTCTCTCCTTTTGGGTGTTATGATCAGCAAAAGAGGCATTGAGTGGCGAACATGTTCAGTCCAGTCTACTTTCAACCTGCATCTCCCCTCCTGGGAGGATCCTCCAAACACCCTCCACTTGGTGTTCCCCTTTCTATCTGAATTGTCCTTTCCCCTAGAATACCCGGCTGGCCTCTAAGTTATGGAGTAATTCTCCTGGTGTTGATCTCAGCTATTCTTGGGTATTAATCTCATATTTTGTTACTTTATATCCCCCAGATGAATGCAATCTTTCTATGTCTATCCCTCTCTTTCTGACTCATTTCGCTTAGCATGATACTTTCCATATTGTACCACTTCCAACATTTAATTCTTAATGCTAAAATTTTACTTAGAACAAATTTACTCAGAAAACAGAGCCATGTGCTCTCTGCCCTGTAAGGCCTGGTGTGCAATGGCTGCCAAAACACCTGAAGAACAAAGGGAATCTTAGACATTAATTGGTGTTGAACATTGATATCTAGCCTCAGATGCTTTTGTGCCTTTGGAAAGCCCCAGTGTCCACAGTGACCAAGCCTCATATTCATCCATACCAACCTGCAGAATAACAAGCATGTGAATGAGGTTCTGGGGCAGGCCAAGTTTGAGTTCCCTGGCATCCAGAAGATTCACATCTCTAAGACATGGAACTTTCCCACGCTTATTAAGTCTGAAAAAACTGTAGCTGAAAACCAGCTCATCACAGAAAGCTGTGAGGTCAAATGCATCCCTAGTCATGAGCCCTGCATTCCTGAGGGCCTCAGAGATTCCCCTTTTGCACCGCCTCCCCACACCCACTTCAGCCGCATAAATATTGCTTCCTAGTCAAAAAACAAAAGAGAAAAACAAAAGTGATACTATGCTAGCAACAGCATAAAGAAGCCAGAAATCCAGGGCTGGGCTGTGACTCAATCTTGTAAATGTGAGTCCCTGGATTAAATTCGCAGTACCACCCGGAAGAAGAAAACAAATGGAAAAAGAAAAAATAAGAATCCAGTGATCCCTATTTGCTTTGTTTGGAGGCCACACCTGGCGAAGACCAGGCCTGGTCGTGCTCAGGGGACCAGGAAAAGAGTCTGGATATACATGCGAAGTATAAGCTCCATTGAGTCATTTCCCCAATCCTCCAGAGAGCACAAAGGTGGTTCTGGATAAAACAAGAGAACACATACACATAGCTAAAGTTAAGTCTTAGGAAACAGACCAATAAAGATTCAAATTTTACACACTCTGGGACTGAGAGAGTACAGCAGAGAAGGCACCTGCCTTAAATACTGCAACTCAGGTTTGATCCCTGACACCCTAAATGGTACCCAAACCACACCAAGAGTGACCCTGAGCAGAGAGAGAGCCAGGAGTAAGCCCTGAGCACAGCCAGATGGATGCAGTTTTTATAATTATTTACACACTGGACCAAGGAAGTGGCTCAGCAATAGAATGTGTGAGTATTTTAATCCATGACACTGCAAAAAAAGAGAGAGAGAGAGAGAGAGAGAGAGAAAACTTATAACATTCATTGAAGTTGGAAAACAACTCAAAATAAGCCAATGTCAAAATAATAACAGACCAACTAATAGCAACACAATGTCTGAAACAATACATTACATTACTTAAGCATGGACCATATTTGTTTCAGCCCTTTTTTAAAGACTTGCACTTGATATGCTTTTAGCTCATTTTTCACTCAGAAATAATACTTTTAAACTGATAACAGGTCAAGTTTCACTACTAACTCAGAATCAATCTGAGCCTGAAACATCATTAATACA